TATTTGATAGAAATTATTTAGTTCTTTTTTATATGAAATTCCTCTCAATTTAAAGACTAATCAGTGAAAATAGGTTTTCAAAAATGTCTGTTTTTAATAGTTACACGAAGAGTTATTTTAATAGCGGTACTAATATTATTGATTAATATTATTAATGGTAATATTATTAGTAATATTAGTATTGTAGTAATATTAGTAATTATATGAATATCAATATTAATTGTAATATTAACACTAATACTAAAGTGTATATAAATATTTCCAAATATTTCACAAAGAAGTAAAATTCTACGGCAGAAGCAGCCTTGAATATTCATGAATCCGGTGAAAATTACAATTACCTCGCAATTTACGAACCATCCCAATCAACTTTCATTAATTGCAATTAATCGGTTTCCACAGCCCCAAGTGGAACAAACATTCAGAAAGTAGTTAGTAATAAGCGCTTAATAACAGCCTCCTTGTAATTGACACAGTTAATTATAATTACACCAAAGAATTCGACCAATTTATCTTTCCATGAACAGACCTTTATCTATCCGAATGTTCTGCTCAAAGTCAAGAAAAAAATCTTCCAAAGACCGTGAATCTTTCGCGAGAATAGCAAGTCTCATCGATGATGGTGCCACGGTGGAAGAACATTAGGAAGCGTTGCATAATAGAAGAAACGAGGAAGAGGGCACTTAGCTTGCCACCTAATTCATGGCGCATAAAGGATACTGCAAACATTATTGAGAACCGTAAAATTTACGTGATAACCGGTGTTTTAATTCATTATCCTCCACCACCGGAATTACGACGATCGACAAGTATCATCGAAGCTGTAATCTTTGGAAATACACTACGAAACGTTGCGTAATGGAGCACAATATATAAGAAAAACAACACTTTGGTTTCGACTCAAAGTCGAACATAGCCTGCCAACTATTTGCGTTAATGAACTGACTCATGGCGTAAGAAATATTCAATCGACCTACAAAAACAAAGACGATAACCTATAAACTTCACTATTTTCTTTTCTCGTACCTTTTGCTTCATAAAACACTGAATATGTCTTAATTCAAAGTCCTAACCGCGCGTCATAGAATTTCAAGTAGCCTTAATAGCAACGTGGCCTGCGTTTTGAGATATTTATGCTTCTGAATTTTTAATGGAGTTCTTCAAGGATCACTGCGAATAATTAACTTATTTCACTCGATTAAGGTGTAAAATTTGATAGTTGAAACCCTTAATTACTTCTTTATGCACATAGTTTTATTATCATTCTTCTACTTGTTATTTAGCAGAATTAATTGCGTTGACAAACGAATGGCTCAATCGAATTTCTTAATTCATTCGTGGGAATTATGTACAAAATGGTATTCTGTATACGAAAGAAACAAGCAAATTAAAATAACAGTAATTGTCTTTAAAACTGTATTCGAACTATATAATAATCACGGTTGCAAGTGCAACGACTGCTGCAGCAAACTGTAAACGATATTAACGCTGTAGCCACAATCGCAACCCCAATTAGTATGGATATTAAAACCGCAGCCGCAATCGTAGACAAATACATCCTGAGATCTTAAATACATCCCTGGCTGTAGCCACGATAGCGACCAGTAACGCAGCCTCATAATCTCAAGTCAGGATTGAAATCGCAAACCGTATTAATACTGGGGCTATAACCGTAATCAACGTAAAAGTAACAACCGCAACCGCAATCTCTGCAGAGAACGGATCTATGACCGTAACCTGAAGTCACATAAAAACTGTAACTGTAGTTTCAACTGGTACGAAACTGTTACTTTTGAATGTTATATAAGGTGTAATTGAAGGGTTCGATGGATGAAGATGTTATGCAAGATTCCTGTGAGAATTTTAATCCTAGATTAGCACAAAATGATAAAACACAGAGAAGACGAAGGACTTTCACAGAATAAGCTTGAATTCAGTTTCTTTGAAACTTCATGTTTGTAACATGCTGTAACCGTTCACTTTGAATGCCTTGATGTAAATTTGTTGTAATGAAATTATGAGTCCAACTGGTAAAATTAGGTTATACAGGCATGATTGTGCATGATCTGGCATGATGTGTAAATAAAGCACAATGAAAGAGATACGAGTTACAGTTCCAATCAGAATTGAGAAAAATAAATAATCATAATCAGTTTTAGTTGTTTTTTATCTTTCTATTAAAATTATTCAGATCATTTATGAATATATTCAGGAACTTTCTGTTGTGACTAATTTACAATTTAACAAGTGGTTTCATTCTGAACTCTGATCAGTGATTAATCGATCAAAGTACATACATACATAGATACGACCATGTACTTTGTCATTAAAAATTAATCGAAAAAAGAGAAAAATTATAGGTAAAACTCTATGGCTATGTTTGCTTTGAAGCATAATAATTAAGAACAGAAGAATAATATTTAGTTCGCATTCGCAAGCATTGGGGAATATTTATGTTTGTTGAATTCTGTTTAATACTGAAACTGCCGCACAACTCAAAATTACCTATTCTTGATTTCTTCTTTTACAATCACTGAGAAGATACAAGTGTTTCTCAGAAAAATGCCTAAGGAAATTGATTTAGCGTTGTACGAATTAACGCTAAACGTACCAAACAGTTAAATTGACTTTTTGAAATTCCTCTATAGCAACTTCAAAAGAGCCCCTATCGAGACTTTAATCGATTTACAATTCAGTTTACGTATTGCTAAATCAATTTCCTGAATAATTTCTCAGAGAAATGTCTACTATCTTTTTAATAATTGCAACAAAAAGAAATCAGCAATGGATTATTTTGTCCAGACTGGCAATTTAGTATTAAAATATAAGCTAATGAAATTCTCAATAAATACACTCATATAATATTCCCGGAAAAATAAAAGGAAATTAATTTGTCTGTTGGATAATCCCTTGTTAAAATCTTCGCCATGAGTCTCATACGTTATTACAAGTCAAAGGAATATTTTTAAGTGAATATTTTTCGACTGTCTTTGTAAGGGAGATACATGTTTGCCGCTGCAACTCTTGTATACGATGCAAAACGCCCACTATGATATCGGTGTATAATTTATATCTTTTATAAATATGCACTTTTTATAAAAATACTTGATGCATTATACGCTAAGTAATTTTCAATCAATTAAAAATTTAGCTGGCTATGCAGTCTTTACAATCTTATGCACTCCTTTATAATCTTACTAGAATGATTTACTTAATTTTCATGTAAGTCAATGCCTTAGAATATACTCATGTTA